CCTCTCAGCGAGCAGGTCCCTGGTTCAAACCCCGGTCCAGGGGCCTTCTGGGTGGAGTTTGCATGTTCTCTCCGTGCATGCGTGGGTTTTCTCCGGGTACTCCAGTTTCCTCCCACAGACCAAAAACATGCATGTTAGTCTGATTGGTAACTCTAAATTGTCCCTAGGTGTGAGTGAGAGAGTGAATGGTTGTTTGTCTCGTTTGTCTCTATGTGTCCCTGTGATGGACTGGAGACCTGTCCAGGGTGTCCCCCGCCCCTCGCACAGTGATTGCTGGACATGGGCACCAGCGACCCCCGTGACCCAAAATGGAATAAGCGTGTAAAGATAATGGATGGATGGATGGATGGATGTCAAATTCAAGAAGAAATGTTGGTTAATTTTTGTGTGTAGTGCCTTTTTTGACACTAGATGGAAGTATGACTGTTTGAACCGAAGGATGGATAGTGAGGGAGCGAGCAGCATCTCTTTAAGAAAAATAGGAGTTAAAACGGATTTTAAAGAGAAAAGAGAAAGGGAGGGATCAGTGAAGAGCACCGGGGCCTTTTCTCATCCAGTGGCCAGTAGAAAGAGAGAGACACGAAGAAACGATAAAGCCGATAAATTAAAATGAGGCTGATAATTTTAATTTATCATGCGATGATTTATTGTTTATTGTGACAGGCCTAGTAAGAGTCTGTAATGACATTCTTTTAGCAAATGATTCTGGTCAGTCTGTGATCCTGGTACTCCTTGACCTTACTCACAGTATCCTTATGTCACGGATTACCGGTGCAGCGTTACAATGGTTCAGTTCATATCTGAATGACAATGTTGGTAATCATTTATTTGCTTCAGTGCCTCTTTCCTGCGGGATTCTGCAAGGCTCCATTCTTGGAACCCTTCTGTTTTCATTGTATCTGCTCACCTTGGGGTCTATCATGAGGAAACATGGTCTTTTGTTTCATTGTTATGCTGATGATTCTCAGATTTATCTGCCCAACAGTTCCTGCTCCATCCACCCTTTGCTAAAATGTCTTGATGACATCAAGACTTGGATGGCTGTGAACGTCTTGAGTTTTAATGATCAGAAGACTGAGGTCATTGTGTTTAACCCAAGCTCTACCACTGTCACTGATCCTGTAAACCTGCACTCCCTTCAGCCTCATCTAAAGCAGTCGGTTACCAATCTCGGGGTAGTGTTAGACTCGGACTTTGAGTTTAATAAACAGATCAACTCTGTTCTACAAAAAAGCTTCTTTCAGCTCAGGCAGATAGAAAAGCTTAAGTCCGTTCTGTCCAGATGTGACCTTGAAAAACTAGTCCATGCATTTATTACAACCCAGCTGGACTACTGTAACTCACTTCATGCTGGGGTCAGTCAGGTCTCTCTCACGTCTCCAGCTCATACAAAATGTTGCAGCTCAGCTACTAACAGGAACTCACAGGTTTGAGCACATTACTCCGGTTCTGTCCTCTCTTCACTGGCTTCCTGTACGTGTCAGAATCGATTTTAAAATTCTCCTGCTGATGTTCAAGTGCATTAACGGCCTCACACCCTCATACCTCTCCGACCTTCTTCATCCTTATGCTCCTTCTCGAACCTTGAGATCATCAGACCAGCTGCTTTTGGTCGTACCAAAAACCAGCTGAAGCTCAGAGGAGATCGAGCATTTTCAGTCGTGGGCCCTAAACTTTGGAACAATCTGCCCATCAACATTCGACAGGCCATCTCAGTCTCTGCTTTTAAATCTCTCCTAAAAACACATCTGTACTCACTGACACATCTGTACTCACTGACACACCTGTACTCACTGACACACCTGTACTCACTGACACATCTGTACTCACTGACACATCTGTACTCACTGAC